TTTTTTACGTTTTCTGTACTGTCTCATATATTCTGCGTTATGGAGTCTTTTAGCTTCAATGTCATCCATCTTGTACAAAGTATGACGCAACAAACTAATGCAGTAATAGATTTCTTAATAATTCTTATGTAAGATAAGTACCTGTGATATCGTAAAACGTTTTTACCATCACAAAATTACCTAGTCCACGACGCACTTCTTCTACAAAAGAATCACAGCTCAGCTCTTGCCGCAATAACGAAAGTAATGTAACACAACAATGCCAAGTAAACATGACGATACAATTAGTTTCTTAGGTAACATGCCGAGTAAACACATGACATAACAATCAGTTTCTTAGGTAACATAACAATGCACGCAGGAGTCCATATAAAAGTTGTCTCTGTAATGCCGAGTAAACATGACGTTTCCTACATAACAATAATGCCGATTAAACAGATCACGTTTCCTAGGTAACAACAATGCCGAGTAAACAGATGACATTTCCTAGGTAACAACAATGCCGAGTAAACACGACGTTCCCTATCGGATCTTAAACATTTTCCTGTCACTTTTTCGTTACACTTTTTTGCGGAATGACACTGACCCTTCCATATAGACGTATTTACGTCAAAAAATTGAAAGTAAGTAAAGTAAAGCTGTCCCGATATGTGTCATGTAGGTGCTTGGGGGGAGAGGCAGTATCGCTCCTACTCATTCTTAACCTCAGTACTACATGGGGGTGAGTGGTTATTGTCATTCCCTGGCCACGCTTTGCCCCTGGGAAGGGACCCTGGTACCCATTGGATAGGAGGTTGGGTGGGTCCCATCAGGAATCGAACCCCGGTCGTCCAATCCATAGCCAGTCACTATACTGACTGACAGCTACCTTGGCCTTTAAAAGAGTTAAAAGAGCTTTTCAGTAGGAAGCAAGATTTTTAAAAAATACAATAAATATTACAAACACAATAATGGTTCAGAGATAACAAATAACATACATACTAGGTGGGTAGAATCATTTCCAAGTAGTATTCATTCATAGATGCAGCAGGTAACAGAAAGAATCACTATAAAGTTAATCTGAACAACTTTTTAACATCACTTTGTAGGGAATTTTTATTACAAATTCTTTCAGGAACAACTCAATATAAGAGAAGTTGAGTTCTGTGGTTTTGGTAACTGATCTCTTATTATGTTGAATTTGTTGGTTTTGTCAGAGGTTCTGTTGATTAGTTTGTGAATGTGGTGACTGGCAAACACAAGCAAGCAGTGTCTTTATTCCAGTCTGGGTGATGGTGTTACATTCCCTCAACGGTGTGTTGATGAAGATACTGACACACTGCTTGGAACACGACAGCGTTGGGTGGAGGAAGCTGAACTTGATTCTCCTCCATTCTCTTCTCATCATTCAGGTATGGAACAGCGCTAGGCAGCTGACATATGTACCTGGGATTGCCGATAAGCAGTATAGCATCGTTTTACCAGGCTTTAGACAAATGTTTGAATCTATTGCATGTTGAAGACTGTGATGTTATGGCATGCAATTATTTCCAATATGACACACACTATAAAAAACTGCATCATTTTCATTGTATAAGAGTATGTTTCATACTCATGCCTGGCTTTGTATTTGACCATGAATTATAGAACATCTGATAGGTATTTTTTTGTTTCTTCATAACATTATATGTTTGTAACAGATACATTGAAATAGGTTTTAATAATTGAAATTGAAAAGGAGAAGTTTGTGACAAGATTTCAATGGGTGAGATGGCATAATGAAATTTGGCTATTAATTGGTATTGATATACTATTAAACAGGTAATATTGTATGTGGAGTAGAAAATTTTAATGTTATAGCCATTTGCTATAACTTACTGTGTCTTGGGTTTTCTGTTATAAAGATGGCTGTTTGATAATTTTATTTCTTTTGAATAAAGAAAACACTGGCAGTAGGAAACAACTAGTTTACGAACCATTATTGCATTTGTATTGTATGCCACAAATGATTTACAATACTTCTTTTGGGGGGGGGAGGGGGGAAAGGGGAGAATATAGGTCATGTGAAAACCTTGGTTGCATCTATACTGCGCACTGAGAATGATTATTTTCCTTTGTTTGTATTTAATATGACATAACTCAGTGTTATGTATAGTACATAACATTAGAAAGACAGTTATGGCTTAAAGTTCAAGAAGTAATTTTCAGAGTGAACCATTAATTGTTTAGTAAGTAAATTTATGAATTTGATTTGTAGAACATGAAGTCTGACCTACTATTGTAATTTTTTCTTTATTTCTGCCTTGTGTGATAAAAGAATGCAGCAGAGTTTTTAACTTTGCACCTTGTTATTGTAAATTGTATTTCTTCAACTAGAGTAGACTCCTGATTATCTGGGGATAGATTAATTAGGTTGCACATTAACCAGGGTCTGTCTGATTTAAGCTAAAATTAAAAATTAATTTTGAAAATCTGTTGTAGAATGTTTAAAAAGAAAAGAATAAATACAACCGTGACATTATTTAATGTATTAACATAAATCAATTCTTGCTAAAACCTAAAGTTTACAACAGTAGAACATTATTAATATCCAATGGAATCCTTTTCTAAAAAATAGTTGATATGTTGTGTATTAAATTACATATAAAAATCCTGTTATTAATTTTTTAAATCTTTAAAAATGTAAATAGTATATATATATCTGTAAACAAACTTACATATTTGTTACATTTGTGTATTTACTTTCATTTTTGTGGATTATTTGGGGTTTTATATATTTCCCAACCAACCCTGATTATCAGGAATCTACTGTAGTTATAATATTATGCCTATTCTGAGTATTTTCATGGCCGAATTTTTTTTATAAATGTTTTCTCAAGAATATGTTGTGGCTAATATCTGTATTCTCTTATTGATTGTTCTGCATTGCTATGAGAAATGTCTCAGATTAGCAACTGTAAGCAAAGGTCAGGGATAATCTTTGGTGTTCATTTTATTGCCCTATGTGCATTGCATGTAAGATGTTTGTTGATTTTTGTAGATAATGTGTGTGACCTCAGTTTTCCAGGTACTCTCCACAAAGGTACTAGATGTAAATATTTAAGTGTCCTCTGTACTGATTAAACGTAAATAATAAGAATTATTTTTCTGTGATATGAAATTTGAAAATGAGGAAGCATTTTTTTCCAGGTACAATATCTTAATATGCATTTCAGCTTTCTATAATGTGTATTATTCATGCTAGTTCTGCCACAGTTTTGTAGTATTAATCAGGGAAAATTATTTGTTTTATATTGGCTGTAAGATTTATATAAGTATCTGTTAATTATCCTATCAGTTCTGCTGCAAAGTTCTTTGTTTTATCATATTCATGTCTTACATTCCATAATACTTTGTCAATTAATTTAAGTTTGATGTAAATGAAGTATTTCTTATGACTGAATTGGGCAGTGGGAGAAGATTTGTGTTTGTGATTGCCATTTAAAGGAAGCAGCAGTTGGGTTTAGACATATTTGTCATGGAACATGTTAAAATAAATTTATTTTTATTTTATGGTTCTAAGTGTCATATAAACACATTCAGTGTCATGTGACATCAGAGTTCGTTACCAGGACCTGAATAATCCATAATTTCATATGTAAACATGCCAACATACATGTTTCCTCTCAAGTTTCTTGCAGCAAGATCTTGGAAGGTTTACAGTAGGAAGACACATATTTAGCTATTTATTTCCAAATTATAAATTGATTGGAAATTGTTTTAAATGTTCTTAAATTATAATGGATTTTAACCTGTGGGCTTCCAAATTATGATTTTGTTGTCATTTGCAAATACAGAGTTTAGTGAAAGGTATTTTTCTTTCCAGGGTTTATGTAGTTTGTATTAGTGTATCAAGACAGAACTTGCACTATAGGATGCAAAAAATATGAGGTTTATTTGTTTGTATTTATTGTGTCAGAATCAGTTTCAGTTACACCCAAAACTCCAGAAAGTATTCTGAGGACTAGAGCAGTGAGTTACTGGGGTACCTGCAATCAAGTGATGTGGTATTTCTGATATGTTGAGATGGCTGTCTTCTATGTTGGAGTACCGGTGATTTAGGTTTAAGTTCATGAACATTTCAGGGGTGCTTGCTTCCTCCATCATCAAGGTGATCACTCTGATGAATGAAGAAGGCAGCAAGCACCTCTTAAACATCAGAAAGCTTCTACCAAACTACACAGTGCTACAACCCAGAAGACACCCATCTTTATACTTGCTGCTGTGAGAACCTGAAATCCTACTTTCTGACATATGTTTCTCTGTATAACTAATGAAATGTGTGCCGTAGGAAAAAAACAACAACACTTTTTTGTGACACCTCTCTGAGCAGATTAGTAAGGAAGCAGTTTCTTTATTGGTCGTACCAGATTTCTATAATGTGAGAAGTGCAATTATGAGACAACTATTTTGGTTTTAATGACAACATAATATTAATACATAATTTAATATATTAAAGTGAGGCCATAACATTTTGTCTTAGAGATAGGGATTATCCCCTTCTAGCAGACCCAACAGAGTGGGTTTCATCACATAAAGACTTGGGCTGAGCCATCCTCTGAATTGTTATGGGCTTATTTTAATATATTGAACCAGTGATGTGCATCTGGCGTGTCATGGAGGCCATGTGCCACAAAATTTTCACCTCATAATAATAATAATTTATATACATTCCATGGATCCATAAGACAGTCAGATGACAATAGGATGTGGAAAAAGTCATAATAATAAAAATAATAATAATACAATACATATTATAAAGTACAATT